GGGGGGGGGGGGGCGTGGAGGGCTAGGGGCTGTGCCTTGACGACCCCCGAGTGCCACTCGTCGGCGCCGTCCTTGCCCTCCCAAAGGACTCGGATCCGCGTGTGGCGCGGGAGGTACTCCTCGTCCAGCTCCTCCCGAGAACGGCCAGGCGGGGGCGACGACGGCGGCGGCGGCGCAGCGTCGCCGCCCTCCACAGCGTCGCCCTCCTCCTCCCCCTCCCCCGCCACTCGCACCGGAACTGCGCGCAGCTTCTGCCGCCAGCCACCGCGACCTGCGGACGGTACTCCGCGAGATCACTCGAGAGTGCCCGAGCGTGCCCGAGATCACCCGAGATTGCCCGAGACGCCCGCGACCTGCGGACGGCACTCCTCGAGCCACCGGCTGCGGGCGCGGCGGTGGCCGCGGTCGCTGCGCCGCACCACCTCCCATCAGGGCCGTCGCCTGCAGGGTGAGCAGAAGGTGTGAGCCCTCACAGCTCGGAGCATCTCGTCAGTCTTCGCATCGCCTCGACCTCCTCCTCCTCCTCCTCCTCCTCCTCCTCCTCCTCCTCCTTCGCCTCCTTCTCCTCCTTCTCCTCCCCCTCTTCCTCCTCCTCCTCCTCCTCCTCCTCCTCCTCCTCCTCCTCCTCCTCCTCCCCCTCCTCCTCCTCCTCCTTCTCTTCCTCCACCTCAACCTCGACCTCCATCGCCTGCGCAGCGTCGCCGTCCTCCTCCTCCCTTTTCCCCTCCACCACCACCTCGATCTCCTCCTCCTCCTCCTCCTCCTCCTCCTCCTTCTCTTCCTCCACCTCAACCTCGACCTCCATCGCCTGCGCAGCGTCGCCGCCCTGCTCCTCCCCCTCTTCCTCCTTCTTCTCCTCCTCCTCCTCCTCCCCCTCCTCCTCCTCCTCCTTCTCTTCCTCCACCTCAACCTCGACCTCCATCGCCTGCGCAGCGTCGCTGCCCTGCTCCTCCCCCTCCTCCTCGAGCACCTTGTCACCGTCGCCGTGCCCGGCCCGTGGGCACAAGACCGATTTGGACAGCGCGATGGCGAGAGCCAGGTCGTCGTCTTCCGGCGGCGGCCCGTCGAATGAGAGCGCGGCGAAGGCCCTGGTCGCCACCTAAGGTAGGGTACGGTAAACTTCTCCAACACGAGGTGGTGGGGCAAGGGGGGCAGCCCTCGCGACTCCACGTCTAGATGACAGGAGCCCCACGGCATGTTGGACTGAGGCCCGGTGCCCACGGGTCGAGCGGTGTGTGTGTGCGTGCGTGCACAGCAGCGGCGCGCGCCTGCGCACGCGCCCGGCCCTCCAGCGGCTCCGACTCGGCCGGCGGCGATGGAGGGTTCGAGGGCGGTGCGGGCTCCGTCGCCTCTGCCTCCCCCGCCGACGGCGACGCCTGCTCCTCACCGTCGATGACGAGCGGCTCGTCGCCGTCAGAGGGCGGGCTGCGCAGAAGCGGCCGGCTAGCGCCGGAATCGTAGGGGGCACCGCAGGGCTGCTGCCGCGGGCGGGGGTAGATGCGCGCGTTCTCGTCGTCGTCCCGCAGCGCCTCCCCGTCCCGCTGCGGCGGTGCCGGCTGCTTCGACGGCTGCTTGGCTGTCGGGGGTGTTTCTGGGGCCTCGGAGCAGGCCGCTCCCCGCTTCGGAGTCGAGGGGCGAGGCGGCTCGCCGGCTGCGGCGCACACCGTGGCGCCCGTCGGCTTCGGCCACACCGTCGCATCGGAGGGAGCTGTGCCGCGCGGCTGGCTCGAGGCCGCAGGCGGCGAGGCGGGGCGCTTGCGGCTGCCGCTCGTCCCGTCGCACCACGAGAAGGCGCTCGCGCATCCGGGCGCTCGCACGCCCGCGTGCCCTTGCGAGGGTCGCGGCGCGGGCGCAGCAAGCCTCGACTGCGCGGCGGGCGGCGTCTTGAGGTCCTTGTCGAGTTCCGCGTCGACGAGCTCCTCGTGCTGCGCGCGCACGTCCGGTTCGATGTCCGG